GGCGAAGCCGGTACCCAGCCCCCAGCTGGCCCACCTTCCCTGGCGGTGGCCTGGGCGCCGGGGCATCTCCGCTCGCAGACCCTCCGCCCTCTCCAACTGGCAGCGGTCAGATCGCAGACGCTGGGCCTCAGGGAAGGGCAGGTGGCTGGCTGCAGGCCGCCCTCCGCGGAACGGTCCGTTCCTGCGGCCACAAGGCGGGGTTGGCGGTGGAATCCGCTGGCTTCTGGACTTGGCCCTTCTAACTTCATGGAGGTGAAATGCGAGCCCCCCAGTCCGACCCTGCGGCCCCCAGCCTCGCGGGGTGCCCCCCAGAGCCCGGGCACCCACCGGTTCCCGGAGAAAGGCCTCCGTTTACTTATTTAGGCAAATCGACCCCCGCACGGTGGAGGACCCAAAGGGTGGGGACAGGGCCGGCCCTCACAGCGGCGAGCGGTGTGGCCGGGGGCCTGGCCTGGAGGGGGCGGCCAGGGCCAGGGGGCGGAGCTGTCATCCGGGGGCGTGGCCTCGTGTGGGCGTGGCCGCAGCCTCCGGGCGGGGCGTGTCGCTGGGGAAAGCGGGGCGCTGGAACCCTCTCTGAGCTGCTTTCACTGGGTGCAGGGTGCAGGGTGCAGGGCTGTCTTCAACAAACCTCCCTGCGGCATGAAAGCCCCGCCCCAAGGGCCCACTCCTTTTGCACTAGCAACAAGTTGCTATTTTCTCTTAAAAAACAAACCGGCAAAACAACGCCAACCCCTCCCTAGTCCCCCGCCAGCTGCCACTCACGTGCTTTTGCAGAAAAACTTGAGCAGCTGTTCTCACCAGCCCCTCCCTGCCCAAGCCCCGTGAATGGCGCTCTGGGGCCTTCAGACCCTGCCGGGCCAGTCCCCCAGCTCCCGCCCAGGCCCCGCCTCGCTGCTCTGAGCCCTTTCTCGCCTGGCCTGGGCTGCTCTGGGAGGGGACTGGGCACGCACACCCCACACGTGGGCACGCTCGCTTCTGGCCGCAGGGAGAGGGGCGGGCAGGGGGCTGTGAGGTCCAGGAGAGCCGAGGCTGCCGGGCAGGACCATCTGGCTTCTAGGAGAGGAGGCAGGAGGAGGTGAGGTGGGGACTGATGCTCAGCCTGCCGCACACCTGTGCCCGTGTGTGTGTGTGTGTGTGTGTGTGTGTGTGTGCGCCTGTGCCCATGTGTGTGCCTATGCCCGTGTGTGGTGTGTGTGTGCCTGTGGCGGGGGCGGGGGAGCAGGGGAGGCCTATGGGAGGGCAGGGCTGAGCCTGGACAAAGGCCCTGCAGCTCCAAGTCCCTCCTTGGAGGCCTCGGAGGAAGTTGAAGGGGTTGCAAACCCCTAAAGCAGGCGGGCCAGGCCTCAGGACACCTGAGCA